TAGAGTTTGAGTCTAGGCTAAGTGGCTAACACTGAGGAGATTTAAGAAGGAAACCAAACCAAACCAACTGATTAATTAATATGAAACGATCTTATTAAACAAAAAACCAAAGGACAAAATGTTAATTTAAGTACTGACCCAACATTTCAATCAATAAATAAAAAGTGGGGTGTTATCCAACCACATAACAACTGTTCTGTTGTGTCGTAAAAATCCTCCAAGACCTCATCCATACCATGAGCATGAAGCTGCATTGATTCAAGAGAATAGTAAACAACTCTGTTCTTGCCATAGAATCTTGGAAAATAAATTCTGTTTTGCAATCCTGGAGGTGCTACCATGGAGAAGGCTGAGAAGCGGCTAATGAAAATTGTACGATTTCCAAAGTCCTCAACTTCAACCCAAACCTTGTCATTTTCATCCAAACTGAAAATTTCAACCCATTCTCCTAAGAACCCCACAAAAATTGAGACAAGCTTGCCATCGCATTCCAATAAAAACTTTTGGTGAAAGGACTCACAGGGACATAAAACCACATGATCAAGAACTTCATGATCTTCATCTCCATCTCCTGCCTCATCTCCATGTCCTTCTTCTTCTCCTTCTCCATGTTCATCTTGTGCCTCATCTCCATCTCCATGTCCTTCTCCTTCCCCTCTGTCCCCTTCTCCATCTTCATCTTCTATCTCATCTCCATGTGCTTCAGCTTCTTCTCCATCTTCATCATCTCCTGGCTCATCTCCATCTCCATATCCTGCAGTACCTCCTCCCTTTCTCTCTCCACCTTCCTCATTACCAACTTCTCTATAGATTCCTAAATTTCCGTACTCATCAAGAAAGTAGACAGCCCCGCTATAGAATACAAGAGGACTATCTTTATACAATCTTATGCGTTCGTTATGCTTAAATGAATAACTTTTCCATTCCTTACCACCTAAATTGATGAAGTTGATGCGATATTCCACATAAAGGTTAAAGAGCACAACAATGGTACAATCTGATTCTGAAGAGTCTGGTGAAGAAGAGAAATCGCAGCCAGCAACAGAACACGAATCACAGTTAAAGAAGTCGCCC